GCATCAGTTGTCACAGCTCCAACATCATCAGCAGCAGCAACAACAACAACAGCAGCAACAGCAGCAGCATCAATTGACACAGCTTCAACACCACCATCAGCAGCAGCAGCAGCAGCAGACGTCGCCGCTGAATCAGATGCAGCAGCAGACCTCGCCACTGAATCAGATGCAGCAGCAACAGCAGCCTCAACAGATGGTAATGGGTGGTCAAGCTTTTGCTCAAGCCGCAGGAAGATCACAACAAGGTGGTGGAGGAGGACAGCCTAACATGCCGGGAGCTGGCTTCATGGGATAAATAAAAATATCATCTTCAGTGCTAATTAATTAATTAGATTCATCATAACTTAAAATTCTTTCTTTCTTCTTTGGTCAACTCGATCGTCGCCATGGTTTTAGACTCTGTTTAGTTGTCCTTCCTCTCTCTCTCTGTTCTTTTGAGCCTGAAAATGGCATGTCCTATTATGGGTCTGACCATTTAGCTGCGGCCCCAAACTATTTTGTTATGTTCTTTAGATAAAGAGAAAAAAGTGGATGATTTCTATTTTGTTGTTGTTTCTACAGGCTGATAAGAACTTTCTATCTAGCTTTTTATTTGATTGACAAGGAAATAAAGGATCAAAACCATTTCATAGTTGGGTCGTGATTGGACTTTGTGTTTATTTGCAGGTAAGAAAGATTGTACATATATCAGCCAATAATTCTGTAAACTTTCTTATTTCTGTTGAACAGGTTTATGGTTGTGATAGTCGATAATTTAGTTTAACAGACTTATCTAAATATACCATTTTTAAACTGCATATTGCATTAGAAAGCTACTTACTCAAATTACATCATTGACAAAGTAGGATTTTTTAAATCATCATCATAAATCAAATTTCATTTTGAAAACCAAGAAATAGAAACCCCTAGCTCTACCTTAAATAGTACACAAAAATGCTTCTCATGTTGTAGCTCTTTTCTTAATTTTCTCTTTTGGAACAGATAATCTTTTGTTTTAGTTCCGATAAAGTCAATAAAGTCATAAGTATAATTTGGAACAATTACTGTTTATCATAACATTCTTGAATTTTAGAAATAAATTATACATAGCTTTGACCACCAAAACTATTTAATAAGTTGTTGTCTAGAAACAAAAGAAGAAAACTTAATTATTACTAATATTTTGACAAGACGTAGTAACTATGACGCGCACTAATTCGAAATCGACTGTGCTTTTTGGAAATCAAAGACAAGAAAAATGACTTCTCTTCGATCTCCACTTTAGCTAGAGCTCACTCATTGAGCCATTGTTCGAATCGAGGTGAGTAACTTTGAGGAGGAGGGTCCCATTCACGTGGCACATAAATATGGTAAAACTTTGCACCAATTTCAAGCCGTGATACGATTCATCGCACCCGTAGCTTTTCTTCATCGAATCATCATGAGAACAAATAACCAAAGGCCCTTTCCTTAAAAGATGAGAGACTGAGAGAAAGAAAATGCCAGCACTGAACTTTTTCTCTTATTTTTTTAATCATCATAAGCTTAGACTTGAGAGTAATGCACCATTAAGTGTTATCTGTTAAAGCAAAGATGCAAATTGGATTATATATAAAACTGAAAAGCTGATTTTCAAATTTTCCCACTTTTTTTTTATTTAGGAATAGATTGTCTAAATAGGGACACTTTAACTCTTTGTGGGTGGGTGGGTTGGTGTGGCTAGATCACTCTCTTATATTTTTCAAAGGTTATAAGCAAAATGGTAGGTAAATCACATATTTCAACGATAAATGTCACAAATTAGTCTTGAAGAGTCCAATTACTTGGAGTGTCTAAAATAGTGAGATTAGGACGGATTGGTTTATTATTTTTTTGCGTGTACCCTTGTTATGTTTATACTGCTATAACCATCATAGTTTAGAGATGCAAACGTAAACGGCTTGAAACAATCGTGGGTTATATATGACAGAGACTATCGAAAAAATATATATATATATCGAAGAGAATTATATGGACTATGGAGATGAATTAGTGATCTCACTTCTCACGTTGGATATTGCTTCAAATTGTGTGAGTATGTTGGTGACATTTTAATGCTATACAGTTATACATTTCTTGGATTGGACAGTTTTACACGTATCGAAATTTTGATCAATTACTTCTCAACTTCTAAATTATCACAGTGCGGAAAATTAAAGTTCCTTTACATGAGTATCCGACATAAAATAAGCCGGGAAAAAAAAGAAAAGCCCAACAAGTGACCTTAATTTAATTTAGGTAAAGTTCTTAAAGAAAATTACATAAACTTTATTATTATAGAAAAAGAAAAACTCAAAACACCGCTTAAAAGCTCCAAGTTGTCCACATTTTTAGGGAATTGAGATTGTCTCACTACACTTGCAAAAAAGACACACAATGGTCTCTACTTCTCCGGTTTCTCCGTCTAAGGTATTTCTCCATATTATTATTCACCTTCTCACTTCTTTCTTTCTTTCTTTCTTTCTTTTTATTTTTTCTTATTAGTTAATTTGTGTTTGCAGGAAACTGACCGGAAGTCCGGCGAGAAATGGACGGCGGGAGATCCATCACGGCCAGCCAAGTGGTGGTATTCCACCTTCCACACCGTCACCGCCATGATCGGTGCCGGAGTCCTCAGCCTCCCTTATGCCATGGCTTACCTTGGCTGGTACGGATACTCTTTCTTCAATCATATTTACAAATTTATGCCCTATGTGTGTAAAATTAAAACATGCAAGTAAATGGAAATTCGCGTTTGGATCTTTCTTATAATATAGTCTTAAATCCGGAAAAAAAAATTCGTTACTCTAAGCTGATGATTTAGAACTAGTTGCAATTTAGATTTAAAGAACATGCAAAAAGAAAAAGAAAAAAAATAAAAACGAAATGCAAATTTTGTTTTGTTGCTTTGTAAAATAAAAAAATGATGATGTGATGTGTGGTGAAAACAGGGGACCAGGGACCTTTGTGTTGGTAATGACATGGGGACTGACCCTAAACACTATGTGGCAAATGGTGCAGCTCCATGAGTGTGTACCGGGAACCCGGTTTGACCGGTATATCGATCTAGGCCGGTATGCTTTTGGCCCAAAACTAGGCCCATGGATTGTCCTCCCTCAGCAACTCATCGTCCAGGTTGGCTGCAACATCGTTTATATGGTGACAGGAGGCAAGTGCTTGAAGCAGTTCGTGGAGATCACTTGCTCCACCTGTACGACGGTACGACAGTCGTACTGGATCCTCGCCTTCGGTGGAGTCCACTTTATCCTCTCCCAGCTCCCTAACTTCAACTCGGTCGCCGGAGTCTCCTTGGCCGCAGCCATCATGTCCCTCTGGTCACTCTCTCCACCTTATCACCACAATATTATTTTACCATGCTGATGCAAAGTATAGAATTTGTTATAGTAGATGGTAATTTCAGTTTTTGGAAAATATGACATAAAATTACATGGAACTATAGTAACAAAATCTGGTATAACACACAAAAATGCTAGAACTATATATGTATACCATTTTATATAAGCCATAATCATGCCTAGAATGATTTTAATGCGAATATTTTGGAAAAACAATAATTAACTAGGTCAAGACTGATGAGACTTTGTGAAATTTTTTTATGTATGTCGTGTAGCTACTCGACGATAGCTTGGGGAGGAAGTATCGCACATGGAAGAATGCCTGACGTAAGCTACGATTACAAGGCGACGAATCCGAGTGACTTCACATTCCGAGTCTTCAACGCCTTGGGTCAGATCTCCTTCGCTTTTGCGGGCCACGCCGTGGCTCTAGAGATTCAAGCCACGATGCCTTCCACTCCTGAGAGACCATCCAAGGTGCCCATGTGGCAAGGCGTGATCGGAGCTTACGTGGTCAACGCCATTTGCTATTTTCCTGTTGCTCTGATATGCTATTGGGCCTTTGGTCAAGACGTGGACGACAATGTGCTAATGAATCTACAGAGACCAGCTTGGCTCATTGCTTCTGCTAATCTCATGGTTGTTGTCCATGTCATCGGTAGCTACCAAGTGTTTGCTATGCCTGTCTTTGATCTTTTGGAGAGGATGATGGTTAACAAATTCGGTTTTAAGCATGGCGTTGCTCTGAGGTTTTTCACTCGAACTATTTATGTGGGTAAGACTTTACTTTTGTTTCTCATGATATATAGTAAGTATGTGTGTCTTATTAAGAGAAAGCTAATTATAAATTGAGTCTTTAATTTGTGATTGGAATTTCAGCATTTACATTGTTTATTGGAGTGAGTTTCCCCTTCTTTGGAGACCTTCTAGGGTTCTTTGGAGGATTTGGTTTTGCACCTACTTCTTTCTTCGTAAGTCCATTTTTATTTCTCTATTTATAAGATAAGACTAAACTAAAGTTCAAATTTATGAATATAAGTATTTTGATAATCTTGTTATAGATATATGATTGATCATTATGCTTCATGCAGCTCCCAAGTATTATGTGGCTTATCATCAAGAAACCAAGGAGATTTAGCGTCACCTGGTTTGTCAATTGGGTAAACATCTAAATCAACATTTATTTCGATAAAAATGAACAATGTCTAGATAGTTTATCTATATATCTTTGGTTTTGTTTTTTATTTGGCAGATCTCCATTATCGTAGGAGTGTTCATAATGTTGGCGTCAACAATTGGAGGGTTGAGGAACATCATTGCAGATTCTTCTACTTATAGTTTCTACGCTTAGTATTGAATAGATCTTGTACACTATATTATTGATCATTGGATCATCTAATTAAAAAGTGTAGGAATAAATCTTCTAAATGGTTGGTCGGATCGAGTTAGAGAGTGATGTAAAATGCTACTTATTCAATAAGACCATATTACTACTTTCGCATAATCGTATTGATCTTCGATGCCATTAATTTTCACTTATCCCATAAAACAAAACCATGTTTTGTATCCCGTTGAATCAAATTCTTGCACACAACTTCAAAATCTAAATGACTCCAAAAGAAATAGAAAAAAAAAAGTGAATAAAAACTGAAAACCAAAACTTTATTGAAGTCAGATGGCTGCTTCAGCCCATTTCAATGTTTTCACTGTCGACAAGCTCTCAGATTTGTTTTGTAATCAAATGTGTAAACGTCTAATATCAAGATTAAGTATCTAACAAACTATGGATAGTAACCTTCTTCGTCTTCATCAGTCTCCCTACAAACCTGCATTTTTTTCACAAAAACTATAGAGTAAGACAGAAGACTATGGTCGAAACGAAATTAATGAACATAAGAAACATATTAAGATTTAGAATCATTACCATAAGAAGCATTAGGCCTCAACAGAAGTAAGATACGATTGTATGCCAAAAATGATGAAAAGCATTCCACCAGAAAGAGCAACCTGCAACAACAACATTACACGACCCGAGTTTTAGCTTTTGATGAGTCTTTTTGATCTCAAATGCAGAAAGGGATAATGAGAGGTATTTACTATTCTTTCGGATATCTGAGACGCTAAGCTCTTTCCTCCAATTACAGCAGCAGTGGTGCACAAAAACTGTGCCCTGTATAGGCATAATATTAGTCAGCAACATCCCTTCAAACATATTAATTTTGTGATGCAGACACAAAATGATTGTAGCAGTTTTACAGTGACACTTACACAACTCCACCAAGGACCACCCCAAATGGATTTTCATCTGCAGCCAAACCAATTGTAGCAAGCTAGACAAGATAGTTATGGTGAGTATGTGAAGCATTAGATTGAATCAATTCTAGTAAGTGAAAGTTAGTTACCTGACTCTTGTCACCCCATTCTCCAAAGAAATTAATCGAAAATGCCTGCAAGGAAAGAGGGGAAATATGAAATTAATTCAGAGAAGTCTCCTACTTTTGTAAGTAGATTCTGAGAGGATCTTTTAGTTACCTTAAGAAAAATTGGAGAGAAGAATTGCGTGAGGAACGCCCTTTTCTGCTTTTTGTTTTCATCTTCAATCTACAAGGACAACAAATGATTTGAAAACAGCACATGCAATTCCCACTTGCTCTGATCTTGTCGTTTTAGTTCAATACCTTACTACTGTCTTTTGGAGATTTACCATTAGCCTTCAAATCAGCATCCTGTGATGAAAACACAAGAACGTCAAACCACAAAAGCATTTATCTAAACGTGAGAGAGAACATGCAGAAAGAAAAGAAGAAACACACCAGTTCTGCTTCGACTTCAGCCAATTCTTCCGATCCCCTGTCAACAAAGTAGAATCAGATAACCTGAATTTCTTGGATTTAAATCGTCCTTATGAAAAAACAAAATTTGAAGAAGAATTATTACCCTCCTCCTTCTTTGAAACCGTCCCACAAAGACCATAGCCCAAAACCAAAGAACAACAATGTTGTTATGTGATGAGTCCATTTGCGAGAGATCTGAAAGTGAGGGTTTGAATCAGCATTTAGTAAGAGATTGTCATAAAAGGAACTAGTCCAGGTAATATGGAAAAGGCTTATGTCGAACTACCATACCAGATTTGGAGCAGCCCATCCAAGAGTAGCAGAGAGGATAGTCATAACCTATAATTTAGTATAGACATGAGCTTCCAAATCTTAGAGAGAGAGGTCACTGAAACCAATACTCAAAAGTCAAAAGGACTCAGAAAAACTTACAATCAGGGCAGATAGACAACCAGCCAACACAAGTCTCCTGGGATAACGCATAGCCAAAATCTGATATAACAAAAAAGAGAGGTTAAGCTTGCAAATCAAGATAACAACAGAAGTATCTTACACACCTTCAAGGAGACTGTGGTAGATTCTAAACTACCAAAACACTATGAAATTTTAGAATTAGATAAAAGAAACCATGAGTTTGCTCGAAGAACAAAGGATCTAAAGATGCCATCTAGATTTCCAATTAGGAAAAGACAATCCAATGAACAGGAATTTAGACTTCGATTCATGTAAGAGCCATTGACTTCTTCGACCTTAAACCCCGAAGAGATTACATGAAGCAAAACAATCTAAAACAAAAGCGAAGAGGAAGACTTACAGCTGCAGCGAAAAACGTCTTGTCACCAATCTCCGATACAAACGTCATAGCAAGTGACTTCGTAAAACCCTATAAAAACCCAAAAATCATAAACCCAGATTAGCTCCAATACGATCCTTATAAGAAAATCGAGGTTCCTTCTCTGAAAACATATATTTTTACTCTACCTGCAAAACCGAGCTCATGGCTGCCGAATTATAAAATCGACAGCGAATCAGCTACCAAGGAGAAGAAAAAAAAAACGAAACTTTCGATCTTTCTCCGGCTGTTACAAAGACGACGGAGTGATATATCGCCGGAGTTAGCTAACAGTCGTCGATAGAGAGAGAAGAGCAAAGAGACGAACACTCGCTGAAAGAGCTAAAGATGAATCCTTTTTTTTGGGGATTGTAGGTGAATTTGATTCTGATTCTTTAACCCTTAAGATCTTGCCACGTAGATAAATAACAACGAACGATTTTGATGTGGGTCCCAGAAAACCCAACTTGAGTTAATTTGAGTTTGCGTCACTTGCTCGAGCAAAACGATCAGAGACTTTTCTTCTTTGATAACTTGTCGCGATCACGATTAAGACGTCACATTGAGAATATTATAACACGTAAGTTTTTGAAAGATGCTCAAATCTGATTGGAGATTAGAAAGTTTCGCTAATCTCAACTCAATTTAATTTTGTTTTATCCTACTACCTATTTTATACAGAAATAGAAATTGACCGATTTCTGATTGGTGACGAATTGATTCGCAACCGTACGTAATTTTATTTGATTTGATCCAACTCTACTTATTTTAATCCGATTTTATCTAATTCTAAAATTAATGAAATAACTAAAATCAGGTGGCGATATTGTAAAATAACGTTGCTAAATCAAAAGGTCAAATTGAAAATTACAAGTGAATTAGAATTTATAGTTTAGAATTAGGCAGCAAGGTTAATGAGTTAATGTAGTAGACTTGGAGTATGAAAGGGCCCAAATATTCAAGTAAAAAGCCTAAATAAGAGTTACCCACAGGCCCATGAGGAAACATGAATTCACATTTTCAGGTTAGCATATTTCCCTCCACATTGTTAATATGATATGCATATGTATGTTTTTTTGTTGTTGTCAGAATGCATATGTATGTATTGGTTTAGAGTTATATCTTTTTTACTTTCTTAGATTAATTGTTTAGTATCATATAGCTAGCTTTATAGAGACATAGGTCTGGATAAAATGAAATAAGTGAGCTGTTAAATTGAAAGTCATTAACAAAGCTAAGCTCATTAGCAAATTTGTCAAAGTGAAAAGATTAGGAACACTCAAAAGTGGCGGACTTTATAAAATCTAAAACAAGAATCTCCACACTAAGCGCATTGAGATCATAAAACAAGTTTATTTAAATCCTCACACTTAAAGACGATGAAGAAACCTCCTCTTCCTCTTTAACCATTTATCTAATCTTTGGATTAGTTCTTCAAGAGATATATATAAATCTCCTCGAAATCTGCAAAACCCCAAAACACAGCTTGTCTTTGTTTTAATTAAAAGAAGCTTTTGTCTCATTTTCCCTTCCCCACCAAACACACTTTTGTCTTCTCTTTAATAACTTCTTTCACTTCATCTTCTTCACTGTTAACGGTCGGAAACTAAAAAATGTCTCCTCCTCACTGCTCCTTCGTCATCTTCTTCGTCTTCTTCCTCACTTCACATTCTTCTGTTTTCTCCAGAATCTTACCAAAGACCTCTGTAACCACTACCTCAATTCTCAATGTCGCCGACTCCATCCACAGAACCAAGTATACGTCGTCGTTTCGGTTAAACCAGCAAGAAGAACAGACTCACTCTCCTTTTAGCTTGACGCTTCATTCACGAGCTTCCGTCCGTGGAACTGAACACTCAGACTACAAGTCTCTAACACTAGCCAGACTCAACCGTGACACAGCCCGAGTCAAGTCTCTCATAACTCGTTTAGATCTAGCAATCAACAACATATCCAAAGCGGATCTAAAGCCTGTTACCACAATGTACACTACTACTGAGGAGGAAGATATCGAAGCTCCTTTAATCTCCGGCACGACTCAAGGAAGCGGCGAGTACTTCACACGCGTCGGTATCGGAAACCCGGCGCGTGAAGTCTACATGGTTCTCGATACTGGAAGTGACGTTAACTGGCTACAATGCACTCCTTGCGCTGATTGTTACCACCAAACTGAACCAATCTTCGAGCCATCGTCGTCCTCTTCTTACGAGCCTCTCTCTTGCGACACTCCACAGTGCAATGCCCTTGAAGTCTCGGAATGTAGAAACGCCACGTGTCTTTACGAGGTTTCGTACGGTGATGGTTCTTACACCGTCGGAGATTTCGCCACCGAGACTCTAACTATCGGCTCAACTTTAGTCCAAAACGTCGCCATTGGATGTGGACACAGCAACGAAGGGTTGTTCGTCGGCGCCGCCGGTTTGCTCGGACTCGGCGGTGGTTTGTTAGCTCTTCCGTCGCAGCTCAACACGACGTCGTTTTCGTACTGCCTCGTTGACCGTGACTCAGACTCGGCTTCAACCGTAGAGTTCGGGACTTCTCTTCCTCCTGACGCCGTCGTGGCTCCGTTGCTGCGTAACCACCAGCTCGACACGTTTTACTACCTAGGCCTCACCGGAATAAGCGTCGGCGGCGAGTTGCTTCAGATTCCTCAGTCTTCTTTCGAGATGGACGAGTCAGGAAGCGGTGGGATCATCATTGACTCAGGAACCGCCGTGACTCGTCTCCAGACCGGAATCTATAACTTGCTTAGAGACTCGTTCTTGAAAGGGACGTCGGACTTGGAAAAAGCAGCCGGAGTGGCGATGTTTGACACGTGTTACAATCTTTCTGCTAAGACGACGATAGAAGTCCCGACGGTGGCTTTTCACTTCCCCGGCGGGAAGATGTTAGCTTTGCCGGCGAAGAATTACATGATTCCGGTTGACTCGGTGGGGACTTTCTGTTTGGCGTTTGCACCGACGGCGAGTTCGCTAGCGATCATCGGAAACGTGCAGCAACAAGGGACACGTGTCACTTTCGATTTGGCAAATTCTCTCATTGGATTCTCGTCTAATAAATGCTAAGCTGTTTTTTTTTTTATAATATATTTGAGTGACAATGAAAAGGAAAAGTCGTCACTTAAAAAGCTAAATGTTAAATTAGAGTACTGTTTGGTTTTGTTTGTTTCTTGTTCTTGTTGTTTGCATAGAGTGGAAAAAAGAGTAAAAAAAGATGGAATTTGTTTTTGTTAATTTTATGATTAAAGAGTAGTACAGTGAACCTTGAGGGGCCTTGTTACAGGTCACTTGGACCAGGTTGTCCATACACGAATGACTCCTTTTCCTGTGACGCATGAGAATACTTGTAGTTGTAGTGTTGAGAGTTAAAGCCCAAATACAATGTGTGATCGAAGAAGTTAAGCCCAAAAACATGCTAAATGTGAAACAAAATCAAGAAACAAATGATTGAATAATAATCTCTTATGATCACGAAATTGTGATCCCTAGTACTAAGTGTACTCATGGATGTCAAAAGAAAAAAAATCCTTAGTACTAACTATATGAAACAAAGAAAAAAGTGATATGTATTAAAAAAAAAAAAGAAAAAAAAAGTGATATGTTTATGGAAGATGAAATTACACTAAACTAAAATGTTTGGTTACCTTATCCTCTGATTTTCTTTAGTGATTTATCAATGTGTGGCGATTGTATTTATTCGATACATAAACAAACTCTAGTCATATTCTATTGATTATTGAATATATTAATGAACTCTAATCATTCTATGCAAATAGTATTTTTTTAAAGAGTCACATGGCACAAAGAGATTTGATCAAAAGAGAGAAAAAAAAAAACATGGCACAAAGAGGCACAAAGAGAGGTGGCGAAGTCATGGTGCCACTACTTGCCATCACAACAAATGAAGTGGCAGCTATGGGTTCAATCATTTTGTCCTTAAAAAAACAAAGCTTTATTATTTTCTTTCTCCTTTTTCTATGTCAACCTTTTACTTTCTCCTTTGTCCAAAAACATTCTTTTACTTTTAACAGTTTTATGCTACAAATAAAACTTATGCCATAAGAGCAAAAAAACCTGGAAATTTGCACTTTGAACAAACATGAGGAATATTTTCCGGCATTAAAAGAGTGGTATATTCTTTTGAACGGTCCTTTTAAATATCTAAATAGTACTATTTCTTACATACGTGAGGTCTACAATGCATAGAGTACATCAAACATTTACCATAGGTAAAAGTTATAATTTTGAATCTTGGATATTATCCGACAAAAAATTTACCATGCGTCTCTACAATGCAGTTATCACATATTTAAAATTTGATTTCTATAATTGAACAAAAATCATGTATGAGTAGTTGCATTATGGTTCCTTTTCAAATAATAATCAGAAATAAAGCTATGAACCAAAAAAAAAAAAAAAAACGTGAATAGTTACGGAGGGAGAAAGTGTGGTCTGAAAACGACCACTGCAAAAACTATTTTCGCTTCTTATCCAATAAAAAGAAAGAAGACGAAGAAGAAGAAGAACCGCTCTGACAAAACTTCTTTGCCTCACTCTCTCCTCTGATCATTTTTCATATTTGACTCATAAACCCTTTCTTCTTTGATTCACGTTTCTTTTTCTTTTATCTCTCATTGACTATTCTCCCTCGTATCTCTCTCTCTCAACTCTTGTGGTATATATTCAAAGATGCTTCCATGAAATTTGGTTCCGGTCAGTGAATCTTCTCTTCTTACTCCATCATGAGTGACTCCACTAACAGCGTCTCTCCTTCCTCTGATTACGCCTCCATCTCCTCCGGCGACCAGGTTTTCCACGCTTCCTCAGTTTCGATCTGGGTTTTTGAATTTTCCGACGAATCTGTTTCTCTTATAAATTTCTGTAAAGCGAAGTTGTTTTGAGAATTCCTTTCTGGGTTTTGCTATTTAGAACATTTCGTTTCATAAAGTCATTTCCTTTACGAGTGGGATCTTGATGAACTCACATCTGGATTTGTTTCTTACATGTTAAGAGTGTGATTGGTTAGTTTGGCTTTGTATCTTAAATCACGGGTCAGTCGCAAAGGTTTTTCTTTTTAATAGGAAACTTGTGTCTTGTGTAAGTTTGATCACTTTATGTATTTGCATTGTACTGATACAAAGTTTCAGAGTCGTTGCTTATGTTAAAGAATAGCTTTTTGTAGGTCTCAGAGACTCAGACTCGTCCATGATGTATGTAATTTTGAGTGAACCAATGTTTTCATTTTGATTTACAGAGTCTTCAGCGGAGTCGAAGGAGTGGAGATGGAAACCGAGCCATTGTCCGTGAGTCTCGCCACTGGCATGATGTATTCTGGTCAGCCATCTTTGTGATCCACATGATTTGTTTGGGATTTGTGCTGGCGGTGCTTGGACTCAATAGGTTTAGAATATCAGATAGGTTAAACATCGATAGGTACACTCAAGGGTTCTTGGAGAATCATAAAGGTCTGACTGAGGATTACTGGCCTCTCTATGCTGTTGCTGGTGGGATTGGAGTCTTTATCAGTTGGGTTTGGTCATTGCTGCTTGGCTCTTACGCCAATGAGATGATGAAAGTTTCGGTTCACATCTTGACAACTTATCTAGCTGTAGTTAGTGTACTATGTTTCTGGTGCAGACAGTTCTTCTGGGGCGGTGCATTCGCTGTTGGAGCTCTGTTGCAGTTCTTGTATGTTATTTCAGTTATAGACAGGTGCGTGCGAAGTTGAATATGTCTGAACCACTATGGTTAAATGGCAACAATTTTTTAGTTCTGATGATTTGAGTTGTTCATGTGTAGACTTCCCTTCACGATGCTGGTTCTGCGGAAAGCGCTGAAATTAGTTTGGGGACTTCCTAAGGTGATAATGGTGGCACATACTTTCACAATAGTCATGCTTTTGTGGATGTCTCTATGGTCTTTTGGAGCAGCTGGTGTTGTGGCATCGAGCATGGGTGATGAGGGACGATGGTGGCTTCTTGTGGTGAGCTGGCAAGTTTTGCATATTTCCTTACGGTTTCTGTTTTCTTCTAGGGTCTGAAAGTAAACATCTTTAGATTTCATTCAATCATTGGAGCATATAATATATATGCAGGTTCTTTCGGTTAGCTTATTCTGGACAGGCGCTGTGCTATGTAACACTGTCCATGTTATAGTTTCTGGGATGGTGTTTCATGTTCTCTTTCACTGTGGTCAAGAAGAGTCATCATCGTTGCCTCCTAGCTCTTTGATAGACTCACTTAGGTATGCAGTGACAACATCTTTTGGGAGTATATGTTACGGGTCACTCTTCACTGCTGCCATTAGAACACTTCGTTGGGAGGTAGTCTCCAGCTTCCTTTGCTGTCCGTAAAACATTATCGTTACTCCACTTCTTAATAACATTGTTCTGCAACTTGGTTTTGCAGATAAGGGGGTTCCGGTCCAAGATTTGTGGAAACGAATGTCTACTTTGCTGCGTCGATTTCCTGTTTCATCTAGTTGAAACTCTAGTTCGGTTTTTCAACAAGTATGCATACGTCCAGGTATATAAATATGGACAGTTTTTTTAACAAGCTCATCATCTTCCTCCTATGAGCAATGAGACTCAAAATGAAAAAACTTTTGGTTAATTATCAGATTGCAGTGTATGGAAAAGGATTTAACAAATCAGCAAGAGACGCATGGGAATTGTTTCAGTCGACCGGTGTAGAGGCACTCGTTGCATATGACTGTTCTGGTGCTGTACTTCTGATGGGAACCATCTTTGGAGGACTCATCACAGGCTCTTGCATTGGTATATGGGCTTGGATCAAATACAGTGACCGTGTTATAATGGTTGCATCTACGGCTATGTTGATGGGAATGGTTCTCGTGAGTTTTCTTTTGTGCACTCTTTAGTCACCCAAAAATCACATGACCAACTTGTTCACTTTGTTTCATTGGTCCGGTGTGGTTTTCAGGTGGGTTTAGGAATGGTGGTAGTGGAGAGCGCGGTGACATCAATATACATATGTTTTGCTGAAGATCCTTTGTTGATTCAAAGATGGGATGCTGATTTCTACACTGAGATGTCTGAGGTGCTTCATCGTCGTCTCCAACATCGTAGCTCTCGAGCCCGTGAAGTTTCGACTACCGCTTGATTAGCCCATGCCTCTTGGAAAATAGGAGATATAACTGTAGAATATTATGCTATTAGAGGGTGCTAAAAGCGGGCTAACCCGTCTGGCTAGAACTATTTTGTCTATGATTTATGCTTTCCATTTGTTAAAATCTAATGTATTGATTTTGTGTTTAGTAGAAAAACAAAATCAATGGAAAAGAACAAAGTTAGTTAAGAAAGGATGGATCAAGTTTAAACCAAACAGAGCCACACGCATTTCACTCTTATCTTTCCAAAGTAGAAATGAAATCAGTCTAATATAACCACTACAACATCATCAACGAGACCCATAAATCTGATACATAGTTATGGCTATAAAAAAGCTATCATACATAGTTGTTGCACAAAAACACAAATTTCTAATAAACTTATTTAAGAATAGGCAAGGATCTAATACATATGAACATTTGTCCAAATTCAAATCTTTAACTATTCGTCAGATCACAAAGAGAATAATAGTGTTAGCATTAGTAAACTAAGAAGAATGTATAAAGCTTGGAACAATAGAAAATGTAAGAAAGGGAATACAATTTTACTAACAAATATAGTTGCAGTTCATAGCCAGCAACGAAATTGGCGTTTTACACAAAACAAACCAAATAAATTGCAGACAGAACACGAATAATAGAAACTTTAACTTAACGATCATACATATGAAATAAAATCAATTCAGGATTGTGCTGCTGTGGTACCATCGATGGAATTAAGCGCTTGGTTTGCAAAATAGCGAACATCAACATCAGGGTCTTCGCTAAGGTCTACCAAACACTGACGGATTGTTTTGTCCACCACCTGACACGGCAAAAAACATTAATGTTCAACAATCTCCATTAGTTTTTGATATAATTGAGTCAGATTTGTTTTGATCTTACTGATTGGTCGACTATGGGGATGAGGGATTGCAGAAGTTTTGCAACATTGAACTTGATGTTTGGAACTCTGCAGAGATTAGATATGTGCAGTAACACATTAAAAGCTAAGACGTGTTCTTAAAGTAGTTTGGCCAATTCATACCCTCTAATCTATCTATCGTACCTGTCTTTTGATGCTTCAACGACCACAGGAAGAAACTTAGAGCATGTGATTTCTGATCCCATTACAGGAGCCATGAGAGATATTGCACGTAGAACCATCATCCTATGTAGGTAGTGCGGATTGTTGACCATGTCCAATACCTGTTTAGATTATAAAGGGTCAATCTGGAAATCTCAGTATCTGCAGCTTTAGCGATTTCAAAGAAATTGAACCAATGATGGAGATTAGATGTTATAGGCGTGTTACTGGACATAAATCAACAATAAGATAATCAGATAGAAGGTTTTAGTATAAAATGCTCAACGAATACCTGGGGAACTAAGTGCTGCATTGCCCATTCAGGACCAAACTCCTCTGCGAGGCGCTTTAGGTTGTTTGCTGCAGCTTCACGGATAGAGTAGACCTGAAGGAAGAGAACAATGTCAATATCCACAATCACAAGTGGATAAGAAATTTATGCCAACATCAAAGATTCAAAATCAAGGATTCATGGTAAACCTTGTCTTGCAGCCATTGCATGCAAAGGGCTCCAAGCTTGTCATCGAAAAATCCTATACCTAACTGGCTGGCCAACAGAGGAACATACTCTATTATCGCAAGTCGGACTCTCCAGTGCCGATCCTCAGCAAGCTCTACAATGGCTGGTAACAAGGATTGAGATAGTAGATCAATTCCAATAACCTGCCGTAAAAGATAATTCAGTCACCAACTAAATACAGAAGCAATAAAAGTAGCTAAATCTAAAGAACACAATAGAGATGCAACAAACCTGGTTGACTTGATCTAGCTTGCTTATGATGTTGAGGCGCACATCAGGAAATTCATCTTTCAGAAGGGAAAGAAAAATTGGTAACAGATGCTCAATGGTTGAGTCCTGTATTGAAAGATTTCAGTATGTTAATAATTTTTTGACAAGGTCTGCAACACCAGTTGGAGCTGGTATAACCACGCCATAACACAGTGTGTGGCTGAATTTTTTTGATGAAAACCATAAAAGCAAATTAAATCTCAGAAATCTCAGAAACCATAAAACCACAAGATGCGGAAAATGTTGGCTATCTTCAGTTCATACCTTCCCAAGGATAGGAGCCATCCCCATTATTACTGAAGCTAGAGCAGAGCGGACATGTTGAGAAGAATCAGATGATAATTCCTGCCAGACATGAGTTCGAATCAGAATATTATGAGACAGGGGACATCGAACAGCTCGTTTATATGGAATTTAAGGAGTTGTAATCAGCAGAGATAATGTACCTTCACACAAGGAAGGATGTGCTGAATAGCAAGCTCTGGATTCAAAAGCCGACAGAACTTGGTCACTTTTCCCGCTGCTGCTATTCGCACTTCAGCCTCATTGTCCCTTAGCAATCTCACATATGCTGGAACCAAATCCGTCCTAGAGATATTACAACATAAATTTTCTGTCAAAACAAAAAGATACAAGTACAAACATAGAACTACCATCCAAGGCTCTTATATGAACGAAACAGAATTAAAAAAACTTCCAATAGACATTAATGGATGTATATGTGTTTGATGGTCATAAAACTGTTTTACGAGAAAGAAAGCCTAGATTAGCAAGGATGACAAAAAAAATTCCACAATGTCACAAGACACATACCTCGTGCAATCAGGACCCACTGCCTCACAAAGTTCATATAGCTGATTAGCAACCATGTAGCGCACCCTCCAAGATTTATCCTGCTCTCAAAAAACAATACAAACACCATAGAAAACTATCAGAACAGCAAGCTTTTACAGATGAAAACTAAACATGCAATAGCAAACAGTTAACTGAAAAATTCATGAATGAAAAAACAAAGCTCAATTCACCTGAGAGAAATTAACAATAACAGGTAAAATGCGTGCAACACAATCCTGAGGTTCCAGCAACTTTCCAAGAGCTGCACACCCTTCCACAGCCAATAGTCTCACAGAATCTTGGTCTGAAACGAAGTTTAAGTTTTAAAAATATAAGCACAGATAAAACAAACATTTCTAAGTAGGTACGTATCCAATATAAATGATTTTTCATCAAACTTTGTTTCTTAATTTCAAATGTGATCTCTTTACCATGCTCTGGGGTCTATGCAAACTATTTCTAAGTGATGAGCACATATAGTAAGACATAACATATTTCAAGAATTAAGTACCATCTTTAGTAAGATCATCGAACATAGTCATGATCTCAGCAATCAAAAAGGTAGACTCCACAGTTGTAGCAAATTTCCCCAGGTTAGATGCAGCAGCTCTTCGCACCATTGGCATATCATCTTGGCACAACTGGCTATAAGTAGCCCGTAACTCTGTCTTCAACACATCAGTGCAACCTTGGTATGCAACATGAAATATACCACATGCAGAAACTCTTGCTGCAAACCATTCACCAGCTGCTAGTCTCTACAAGACAAACAACAGAACAAACAAAATAAGCTTTGATCGAACGAACTAATAAAAGGGCATAATTTACTGCTACATATATCTCCTTATCTAACCTTCACAAGAGGGACAAAGGATTCAACAAGATCATTCTCTTTCATTTGAGATCCGATCTTGCAAAGCGACTCCACAGCTTTTTCTCTCACACAAGTCTCTTCAACAGTACAGAGAGATTCCAAAGGAGGAAGAAGAACATGCGCATACTCAATTCCTCCGACAAACGGAATAAAAACTCCCAATTCCTCAGCCATTGCAAGGAGCACCTCATCATCATCATCACTATTCTCACTCAAAAAAGGGATTAATTCCTTCCTTGTACGCTCCTCTCCAAGGGCACGAGCTATAGTAGATAGGCGACGGATCGAGTTCAAACGAAGCTGAATATCATCATTCTTGAGCTCATCTATGAGCACGGCAATGGGATACAACGGTTCATCTACCATAGCCATCTTAAAAATCCACCTTATGTGAAAGTTCGAATCAAGTCACTGCAATACATCAACAAAATAATTCCTATGAGCTCATTGCTATAAGAGACGAAACAATAGGTTTTGGATCTCGATTAAAATATTTAGAAATAAATACGATTAATCATTTCCAGATCCTGGAAGAAAAAAAACTATGGCCACTCGAGTGTTATCTTCGGCTCTATCAATTATTCTCTATTTCCACAAGAAGATAAAGAAAATATCGCAGATTTTGAAATGAATCGAATAAAACAGAAGAAGCGAGAAACGGCCTCAGATTCACCGGTTTGAAGTTAGATTAAAGGGAATGTGAATCGGAAAATGAAGATTTGGAGATGAGATCTTATGATGCGTAAGAAGAAACTGGAAAATCATCTTACCGATCTAGGCGACGGAGAAGAGCTGCTTCTTCAGATTCCGATGAGCGAGAAAAGGTGAGAAAGAGGAATTCGCGAGCGAGAAAAATAATATTCTCCGTTTGATTTTTACGATGGATTTTTGAAGACATAAAATGACAAAAAAAAAAATTGCTGATTGGGCCCTATTGGGCTTTCTTATGCTTGCTATTAATCTTTTTTTTTTTGACAAAAAAACAATTCGTTTTAATAAAAAAATCAAAAGTTGATTCAATTGATACAAATCATACAATGAAAGAAAAAAAAAATCTGAGAACAAAACTTTCCAGTTGAGTTTATGACATGCCAAAAAAAAAAAGGAATTAGGAACTTATTTCAAGACAAACAAAGCAAAAATATATATGATTGTCTATACAAAATCAACTACATCACCACACAATTAACTGCAAGTGCTTCTGTTAATCCCTGGAGCTGAAGCAGCTACTGAGTCTGGTCCACAATCCAGCTTTTTCTATGTCCTTCTGTGTCTCGCTAACTTGTTCTTTGAAATCAGCTTTAGTGCTTAGCTCCTCAAACGCGTTAACAATATTCTGGAGCCTTGCAACAAACTCGATCAAAAGAGACGCAAATGTGGCTAGCGACAAAGAACTCGCGCTTTCATATACTTTAGATTCTATTTCGTTGATCATAGAACCGCCTATGAATGAGACGCTTGGCCAGTTTTCGCGGTTCCTAAGCATCATACTCTCTGTTGAAATCCATAGCTGAGAATCATTACCAGTGTGTGGATTCTGATGATGATGGTTGTTGTTATTGTCCCATATCTGGCTGAGGGATTGGATCACTTTGGACTCGTCGTCTTTGGCTTCGTGATAGTTTTGTTGCGCTTCTTCGGCTTCGGCTTTCTCTTTCATAGCAGCCCAACTTTCTGAGTTGACAAGAAGGAAGGAGTTAGTGTCTATTTTCATCTGTAGTTCCTCTGCTGCTCTTTGAACATCCTTCAGAACGTTTCCTGGGCTTAGCTTTTCCATTTTCTCCACTTTTTCTCCAAACAATCTCAAAACTTTGGCTCCTTCGTTTCCAACTCTCTGAAGTTCTTGACGAAAAGCCTGCCTTTTTTCTGGAGCTGCCTGCAAATCTCACACCCATTGATATCACAAGTCTTATAGGGTATACGATAAGCACAGAAACCAAAGCCTACTGACAACCATTCACTAGTAACAACAGTAAACTAGGAGATCCTAGTTTGCAGCAATATGGCTCCTTTAGAAAGTTCTTGGTTTCAAGCACTTTCGAACAATTGAATGACAAATATTAAACTTCTTTCTCAGAGTAACATAGTCTAGTTAATCAGGAAGAGTAACCTAGTAGCATTTGAAGCAGGTGGGTATAGTCTCTAATAATCATCATAGCATCTCATTTGTTATGATAGATAGAGTTGTATTACAAGAAATATGGCAAGTTACCTGAATTTCCGAAAGAATGCAGCCATGCATTGCCATGACCATGAAAGCGCAATGCCTTACCGCACCACTAAGTTTGACGTAGTTTGCCCATGGATGGTGGAAAGTCTTGTATGGTCCATGTGGAGGCTCCCATACTGCAAAATCAAGCTGCGAAAAAAGAGGTACTTGTTTCTTATCATACAAATTCTTTTTCAGTTATCTAGTGCTGCTTAACAAAAAAAAGTCCTACAGAAAACACACCAGAGAATCTTCTTGGCTCGTAGATTGGACTACAGACCTGTATCCACTGTATAATGGATCATCCGAAGCTTGGTAAGTGAGAATCTTCGAAGGGATCCTCTCGTATTCAACACATTGCAAGTACCCATTAACACATCCTGAAAGTTTTAGGAAAGCACAAACAAAACCAGGAGAAAAAAAAATCAGCTGATACCCAAAACGAAACAAGAGAAACATCCATGTTATGTATATATCTACCTTCAAGGGAATTGGCCACACTCTTGAAATTTTTAACCACTAGTTTATGGAGGTCTTCTCCAGCCCAAATGGGAAGTATAAATATGTTCACACCCAAACAGATACCAGCACCAACCAGGATTAGCAAAAACCTATAATAAGCAGTGCTAAAAAAATCTCTAGAGTTGTTTCCAGACACAAGAACAATGCAATATGTCAACAAAAACACCCTGAATGCATATTCATACGACTTCATCGCCGGGTATAGTTTCAAATAACTTGCAAGAAAACCTGATAGACAAACCAACAGATTCACAGGAATCAAGAGAGAAAAAGTTAGTTTTTTTTCTATAAAAAGGTTCATTTCTAATATAGATTGAGAGAATTAGTGCAACCTGCAATGAAAATACTAATAATGATAATGAGTTCTTCGAATTCTCCAGCTGAAACAGAGAGTCTAGCTATTCCAAGAGCAAGTCCACCAGCAGAGAGTGTTCCTATAGCTCTATTGAATCCTTTGACCAATGTTGCTCCTTCGAAAACAGTTAGAGAGCCAAATTAGAAAAACTCAGATCAGAGATCTCTAAAGACAAGTGGAGTTAGATCAAACAAGACAAGATCAGATGAGATTTGAATCGAGAAGAAGAAGAAAGTTTTGATTTTTAATCAAAATCCGGAAGATTTGATCGAACAACAACAACCCCCGAATCGATCTGAATCTACACAATTCGTGAATCACAGTACCTATACTATACTCGAAGACGACGACAACAGTAAGGATCGCCCAAACGGCGTACTTGCTAGCGTCACGGAGAGGTTCTTTGAGGTAGATGACGAAAGAACAGAGAGCTAAAGCCATGCCCATCTTGACGGAAAAGTAAACTTTCCGACGATCGGAACGACCCATCTCGTATAATTTAGCGGCGATGTCGTACAAAGCTTTCCAGGAAGCGGTGATCCCGTCGGAGCAAAATCGGAAACAACGGAACTTGGAACGACGGTCATCGATGATGCTTGAATCATTGAATCCGAAATCTGAGCAACCTTTTCGAGAAAGAAGGGCTTCTCTGGTTTGGTCAGCCATTTCTTTTCTTGATTTCTTCTTCCAAAGATCACAATTCTGAATTCACGATTTCATAAACTGAGAGTGAAAGATGAGATGGTTCGTTCAGATGGATCCCACAAAAAAGTTAAGTTTAGAAGAAGAAAGAAACCTTAATTATAGTGGGGTCCTGTCATGAAAAGGGGTGAATCATGTTTAAAAAGATTTCGAAGCTACAGACAAATTATTAATAAAACAATTTAAATATTGATTTTCATTTGTAGAGCAAAAACAAACATTATTGATTTAGCTATATAAAAGATGTTTCTTGTTCTATATGTGAATTGTTTCTTACGAAATAGTCAAAATTTTCTTTTTTTTTTGGTAATTATTATGTTTTTGAAATTAATTTTATTTTCTCTTTTTAAAAATATATATTTTCGTAGCCTTTTAAGCAAAATAAAAAGAGAGTATATATTGGTATTCGTATACAAAATAGACATGACATAATTTTTCATAACAAAATTTGTTAAATAATGTCCTTTTTAAGGAGTAATTTTCTAAGCGGTAATCCAATAAGTTGAAGAGTAAAGGTAAATAAATGGTATCCTTCAATTTATATTTGTGATGTAAGTATGATTGTATTTTGGTAAAACATAGAATTTATATAATTTTACTCTTTAAATGAAATATGACTCCTGGACTGGTTTTCTCCCGTAGAAAACCGGCCGTTTCTAACTTAAATGGATGATTTTATTTTGCTGTAAAAAAAAAAATGAAATATGACTACTCTGATGAAGACTATATAACTGCAAAAGAACAATTGAGTCTTCAAGTTTTACATGATGTGAAATGTCAATATGTTGAATGAGAAGTTTCAACAGATGATTTCAGAATCTTAGCAAGAGCGATTTGAGATGATAATCAGTTCTAGATCTCTTATCCCAAATTATCGCTTTGATTATAATTGGTGGACATCTCATGTATGATATTTTGCCTAAAGAGAAATGTAAAAGAATATTAAGAATCAAAGGTCTAAAATTAATATTCGACTCTTTCATTGTGAAATTTTGTGACAACCATGTGTATAAAAAAAAAGTCCAAAAGGCGAAGATGAAGAAAGATCACTAGTGATTCTTGTTGTGCAACGTTCACTTCATTTATCCTTGAACTGAATTATGAGACATTTCTTATTTGGATTCTTCAGCTGAATTTTTTGTAAATACATACATACAATAAAATGAATGTCGTCTTCTTCCTCTCGATCAAAAATTTATCTCTTTACGTAAATCCAATAATCTTAGGATTATTCGGTTATATAATCAAATTTGAGTTAATAAACTAAAAATTAACACCTATATTACAATATATTATATGTGACTAAAGAGTTTTGTACCGTTTATGCATTGTGAAGATGAGAGAATAGACTAAACTAACTCTCTTTTCTTCCTTTTTAACTTCACTTTGTCTTTCTTATGTGGACAAAAAAGAATTTATTCCCCATCTAATCTTTTTGGATATAGAGTTTGCATATAGTTTGATTCAATCTTGCGATCTTACGATATAAACCTAATTTTTTCCGCATATTCTACAGTTTGAATTGTAAAATATGGACACTATTTTTTTAAAAATGATAAAGGGTTTTATATGTATAAAAGTATTTTAGAATATTATAAATCATATGAGTTTTATGATTAATACATATTTACTGTATGTATTAATTTTTTGTCAACTAAAATATGTATTAAATATTTTTTTCTCAAATTAAATATGAGAAATTTTTAAAACATTATTATCCATAAAATATTTATCAAACTGAATATTTGTATATTTCTCTCAAGTATATTACTTTGGTTTGTTTTTGTTTGAATGATTATACGGAGATATATAAAAAAAAAGAATGGCTCAAAATGGATCTTTTTGACCAGTCGTAACTCGTAAGATAGTAAAATACAGTCTAACAAATGAGTGACTATTGGTAATTGTTTGTGGCGACGGACCAAGAACTACATCTTTAAATGTAGATGCAGTAATCAGTAGGACGAGACTAAATGGCTAGCACCAAATGAAGGAATTATTAACTATCAATTAATGTAAGAAAGAGAAATAAGTAACATAAATCACTTTTTGTAGTGATTCATTACACATGATGTTATGAGATTCGTTTAAGCAAATCTAGTGAATTTATGCAAAATATTTATGGTGTGAATTTTAAAAACTAGACACCATTTATTGAAAATCATAATTCTGTATAGAAATGACGTGTTTACATTAAGAATCATTTTGATAAAATTATACTCCTTATGTATCATTGATGTTTTAGAAAGAATTTTTTTATATTATTTTAATTAACTTTCTATGTAAAAATGTATTTGATATTTGTTGGCTAATGGTATTTTACAGTATATTTTTTATTGGTTGAATTAGTTGGAGTTAATGATGTTTTTATGTAAACGAGATAAATTAAATAAAATGTTTGTGATTTTTTTATATGTGTGCAAAAATCTTAAACATCACTTAAAATAAAATAAATGAAATAGAGGGAGTATATATTTTGGAAAAAAAAAACTTACATGATGACATATGTAGAAAAATACTGGATGCGAATTGAAGCAATTTTCAAATAATTTGATTATATTTACATTTATCTCATTAATTTTTTTTTATGACTAGGAAATTTGGGATTATGGACTCATACATTCCTGAGGCGGGGCTCATATTATTAATTTAACTCTACTGTGAAAAGCAAATCCCTCTCAATGCGGATTGAATTTGTGACCTCATTGAAATTTTTTTGTAAACTTATTATTTTCTAACTTATTTAAAGATTTCAAAAGTAAATTATACACATGCACAATATACTGATACTTTTTATTAACTATATTATGCAAAATGATAAAGTGAAAAAGTGACTAAAATATTTACAATTATTCCAGATATAATGCCTTATGAAATAAAAAACTAAAAAATGTGTTAAATGCTTGGTCATGTAATATTATAGAAATGCATATACTGTATGTATTATTATTTTTGTCAACTAAAATATATATTAAATATTTTTTTTGTCAAATTGAAATATGTATTAACTTTAATTTTAAAACATTATTATCCATAATATATTTATCAAACTGAATATTTGTATATTTTTCCCACGTATATTACTTTTATTTGTTGTTGTTTGAATGATTCTTGGAAGTTAAAAAAAGAAAGAAAAAAAAAACTCAAAATAGATCCTTTTGACCAGCCGAAAAAAAGAAAAAAAAAACAATTAAAAATTAGAGAGAAATCCGGGAGTGAATATCACGCCTCAACGGAATATAATAAGAGGCTGAAACCTTTATCGAGAGAAAGATAAAATTCAGAGTAAGCTCACAAAGGTAGGCGAAAGATTTTTTTTTTCCATCCACAAATTCAGAGATTTTTTTTTTCCATCCACAAATTCAGAGATTTTTTTTATCGCTTAGATTTGCTTATGTGACTGTAATTTATGTGTTATACTCTCTAAAGATCTGCGTTTTCTTTGAATCGGCGTAAAAATCTTTTTTACACTTGTTTCTTCTGTGAACTAAAAATCACGGATCTTTCGTTTTTACATATTCGTTGGAAAAGAAAAAATCCGCCGCTTTTTGTTTTCTTTCTTCTAGCCTCTAGGGTTTTAGGTTCTAGCTGTGTTTGTTTGTTTCTTTCTCTGGGTTTCATCTGCGAGTGTGTGTCTCACTTATCTCTTCTGGGTTGTGTCTCTTTTGAAGAACAGGAACAGTAAAAGTCGGATTTTTGGGTCTTTGAGAAGCAATCGGAGAACAACAACGGCGTTTGTAACGCGGATTTTATGTCGGCTGTGTCTGAATCGGCTGTGATTTCGTCTCTGTTTCTAATCTCCTTTGCGATTCAATCGTCTTCTTCCTCGTCTGTCTTGTTCTTTGGTCTGAGTCTGACCGCTGTTCTTAACGCTCTTCGCTTCTGCTCGGAACAGAGGCTTATTCTTGAGGTTCCTTCCATTTCCATGGGCTTAAGGCTAAAAAGGTTTGGCCTTTTCTTTCTTCTTTATCTTTTTTTGTTGGTAAAGGAGAATCTAAAGGTTTTAAGTATTGGTTCTGGATTATGATTTTTTGCAGGACTTGTTCTGGTGTTGAAGTATTTGGGGGTTTTCACGAAAAGCAAAAAATACCCTTTTTCATAGTTCGCTGAAACAAAAGCTTGAGTTTTTTCTTAGAGAACCCTCATCCGATTTAGCAGTTTTGATCAGAGATTTTGAGTGGGTTTTTGCTGTGTTCTTGTTGTGTTTGAAGTGTGAGTCAGAAGATATGAGGTCCTTTGTGAAACCTGAAAGAGACTCTTTGTTGAGAACAGTCCGTATTATTTTCACTGATCCTGATGCTACTGATGATTCCTCTTCCTCTAGCGATGAATGGTTACCTAAACCTCGAAAGGTAAAGCGTTTTGTCCATGAGATTACTTTCCTCTCTCAGGTCTCCGAGAGTTCTCACGATCGTAGCAATGCTGTCAAAACCCCTAGAAAGAGATCTACCAGGCAGTTAAAGTATCCTGTGGGAGTTAGGCCGAGGCGATCAGGCAGATTTGCTGCTGAGATTATGAACCCATTCACTAAAACTAAGAAATGGCTGGGTACTTATGAAACTCCTGCAGAAGCTGAGAAGGCTTATGTTGACAAGAAGGTTGAGTATGATGCATTGGCCTCTTCAGGTTCTGCTGTTTCCTCATCGGTTGTATCAGTGACTAGCCAGTGCTTGCGTTCTCCTGCTTCTGCTTCTGTTTCTTGTGTCAGTGCTGATGCTTTGTCTAAAGAAAAGACGTCTCTCAACAAAGATGTTGCTGCGTCTGGTGATGATTCAACCATGGAAGTGTTCACCACTTTCGACTTTTCCGATCTGAAAATCCCTGATCTGAGATTCTTAGCAGCAGAAGAGGATTCTATGGTTTCTGATGCAAATGGTGCAGAGCTAGACTTTGATTGTATCCTTTCTGCCGAGTGTAACCTTCTGCTGGATGATTACTCTTTGCTCGATAGTGATTTCAACATCAGCGGGTTTGAAAACAGTTTTCCAAGTGAGCTACCTGACTGCGATTTCACCGAAATGGAACGCGAGCTTGATGATTTCAAATTTGCCTTTGCAGATCAACTGACAACACCGCCTCTCGAGTTCGGTTGTGTTTAAGACTTGTTAGCTACGTTTTCTGTTTCACAGGAACAGGATGAAGAAAGCTAGAAAGTATGATCCTTGCGGTCTAATCTCCTATGGATTTTTCATGTGCTTTTAGAGCAGTCCAAAGGAGTGATTTGCACAACATTTTTTCATGGATGTTGGTTTTACTTCCTTCAATCTTTATGTTTTTAATCTGTTTCCTTATGCATTGTTCTTTGTTCGTCTTCGTATCTCTTTTGTCTCTTCGTGTCGTACCTTTCTCTTTTAATGTTGTCTAATCAGGACAGAAAATCTAAACCACTGAGAGAATTTAATAAGTCATGGGTTGAATTTAATAGCTATACTTGCATAGTACATAACAGTTGGATCGCATTTATGCTTTTGAAGGTGGCTAATGGTGATTGTGACTTGTGAGCGACCAAAAATGAAATGGAGACGACTCTCCAAAGTGGCATTCTCCACTACCTTAAAAGTAAAGAGCACTAAAGAGAGAGCTGACACGTGCTCCTGTACGTTTCTTGGTACGGACGTGTATGTGTTAAGCACGTGACACTATCAGATCCAAAGAAATTCCACAAGACATGAGCGAGATAATATAACTATTAAGTCCAAGATTGATGGGAACATACATAGTGTGGAATCATTTAGGTAAGAGAACTCGTTGATGTTTAAATAGAAGCTTGATTCATTTGTGTTTCAGAGTAGACCCTTGTCTTGAAAACTCTTGATACAATCATCAAACATCTCAGGTAATGACTTGAATGACGTAAAGCCAAGTTCATGTATCTTTGTTGTGTCCAAGCTATGAGGCATATCTCTCCCTTCTTCACTACCACACCTGTTACAAGTTTTCTTTTGATACATTAAAAACATGTCTTAAAATTAAGTGTCAAATCTAGAGCAGAGGATATATGTATAGTAAGTACTTGGTCTCAAATGGGTATAATGGGTATTTGATTCTTAGCATCTCAATGATCTCTGACCAGTGAGCCACTGAACTTGAACATAAGATTCTTCCTGATGCTTTAGGCTCTTCCATTGCTAAGATTTGTGCAGCAACTACATCATCTATGTGCACAAACCCTCCCCTGAAATTAGGGTACGCTCCACGAGTCCCTAGTCAACAAAAGATCAGCTCAAACTGACACAAACTGTATTTTGTGAAATTGAAAATGTAACTATGAAAGTGATTAGATTCACTAACCTTTGATAATGGACAGAACAATTCGAGGGGAGCTTGTGGGTTTTGGACTAAGTATTGGACCAATACAAAATGATGGGATTACAACAACTAGGTTTAGCTTCTTATCAGCTGCGATCCTCCAAGCTTCTTTCTCCCCTAAAGTCTTTTTATAACCATACCAAATCTACATACAATTTTTCAGACATTCATCAATCAGACAATGCATTTTGTTTAAAACATGCAAGCAACAGTGAGGAAAGTTTCTCACTTTGAAGCGTTTGCAGTATTCAAGATCAGTCCAATGCGACTCGTTAAGTGGAGAGACTTGTGTAGCGTCAAAACGGTACCGTATCGCAGTTGAAGAAGATGTGAGAACAATTCTTTTCACAGTGTTTCTTGACTTTGCACAAGAGTTCATCACATTCATTGTTCCACTTATATTCGGATCAAATTTCTCCTAAGGAAAACAAAAAATAAACATCAGCGAGTTTCAATGAAAAATGATCTAACAATAAAAACATGAGATGTGTTTTGACCAGATTGTTGTTGTCTCGACCAACAGAAACTCGGGATGCGATGTGGAAGACTCCATCAACACCGTTGACTGCATCATCAAAGCTTCCCTCTACCGTTAGATCGGCTTCGAAGATCTTCAACCTTTCTTTTGCTCCTTTTAACTCCCATAGAAAACCAACCTTTTCTTCATCTCCTGCTTTACCACAAGAAAAAGTCCAAGAATAATAAGAAACAAAAAAACTGTTGGAGCAAAACATGAGAATTTTGGTGAGGATTCTATAAGTACCTGAGTCTCTAACAGTTGTTCTTACGTAATGACCAAATTCGAGAAGTGACTTGATGACGTGAGAGGCTATAAAGCCGGTTCCTCCAGTAACCAAGTACTCTGCCATTTTATTAAGGCTCTCTTCTCTTCTGATTTGGTGTAATATTGACAAACTAGATCATGCGATTAGATGGTCGAATTTTATATTTTGGGGTTAATAGGATGTTCAATCCTGGTTAATTTAGTTTATGTTTGACTTTCTTTTTGTAGTCTTTGAATAATAGTTGTTACATCTAACTTTCATAAAGTATAACTTGGATTAGTATAACTCTAATATTAGCCTTGGGCTTGAAGCAAAGATAATGAACTGAATGTGGGCTTTTGAAAGTATCCAAAGTGGTTTATGAAATGTGATATTGTGAATGGTCTTCAATCTCCTGATAATTGGTCTGCCATCCATTAGCAGTTTGAACGCTCTCTTTAGAGACCTTGACAAGAAGGCCTCAATGAAAACTTGATGTTGCATCGATAAGAATGTTAGGTAAAGAGTGAGACAAAGATTGATACGAAACAAAAAGAGAGAGAGAAAAACGGACTCTTTCTTGTCCAATATTCTCTTAAGGCAAAGATTTTTGAAGAGAAACCAAAATTGATACAAAGGAAGGTGGAAGGAAAAAATATGATGTGTGTCCTTGATTGGACATATTTAGCATTTTTGCATTGTGTCTAGGATGTCATTTTGTGGCAGGTTTACTGCAAGTTACTAGTACAAGGAACAAAGTGCCAAAGCTGAAAGTTGAAATATCAATCGTCAACATCCCAACCGCTTTAACATTAAAACCAACCAAAAAAAATAATACATCGCAACCGAAAGCAATCCAAGGAAGATTAGTTTATGTAAATGAAAAGTATAAATATCAAACTGTCACATAGTTGAGAGTTGCCGTGAATATTTACTTTTTCAAATAAAAAAATATGGTTAGCCGCTGGTTGGTCTGACACCCTATAGATTTTAATTTTGTATCATTATACTCATTATCCGTATGAAGGACCATTGTTTCATATGAGACTACTCTATACGTGTATATGTAACGACTCGTATGCAGAGTCTACACCAAGTATATAACTTGTACTGGTATATATGATATAATTCACGAAACACCAATTTAAGCCCGGAACATAAAAATGGTGAAACCAAAATATTTGTTTTTGTATCCCACTTACTATTTTCCCGCAATGATATGGGGCGGTTTTGGAGATATCGCCATCCGGTGCAACAATTTAATTAAAGCCGTAAAAACTGTTAAACATTTAGTCATTCACTCAATTCCCCACAAGAAAACGATAAGTAGTTCCACTCTATATTACTCCCTCTGTCCCAAATTATAAGAGGTTTTGGCTAAAAGCACAAGGATTAAGAAACAATAAATGTTTTCTTATTTATAAAAATTCAACCAATTAAAAAAAAGACTGCATAATTTAAACAGTCAAAAACTATTAAATAAGTATAAATAGTGCATTGAAACTTAAAAAAATCTATTAAAATGGAACAAAGAAAAAAACCTTAAACCTCTTATAATTTGGGACAGAGGGAGTACTACAAAACTTGTATACATTAAAAATCGCGTTTTATTGAGTAGACATTAATATCGGCTTATAAATCTAAATAAGTAATGTGACAGAATTCACGTGAACAAATGCTCGAGTGGCAAGTTTTTATTGCTCTTCAAGTTGGTGATCTTTAATATCGCCAAGATTAGGTTGTGCATTTAATCTGATTACTTTTTATAAATTAAATCAAGATAGGGATATGATAAACTTTCAATTTTTGTTAGTTAACACAATTTGTAGACTTTATACTACATTATAGTATTAATTTGCAGATTTTAACAATGTTTAAAATTACAATAAACGTTAAATGTCTTGTTTCCATATGAACTTTTTTTTTAAATTAAAATTGCTCCATGAACTTCCATATGCGATTTTTCATTTTTAACTACAAATATGTGTCATTGTCTTCATTGTTAGTGGTATAACATTTTGAACATCAAGCAACATAATATATTGAACATCCACAAATGTATATCTAACACTAAAATAACGTAAAACATACATATAAACCCTTTTACGTAAAAGCAATTACATGAATTTTGATAAAATCATGAAAAAAAACAGAAGACGTACGTATCCAAGATTGTGGATGAATGAGAAAGCACCGACAACTAAAAGTTGCTCCAGAAGACGATAGTGTCGAGAAGAAATCGGAAGAATGAAAACAGTCTCAGTGACTACGATAAATAGCCGGAGAGAAAGAGGCATCGGAGAGAGACGAGACGGTAGAGAAAAGAAGGTGCGACAGAGAGTTGGACGGAAAGAACAAAACGAGAAAGGCAATGGCAGGGAGAAAAGGAGAGTATACGAAGAAAAAAATGGAATTCAATATTTATCTTTTAGCTTTTGTAAGTTTTTTGTTTTGGTTTTTGTTTAAATATAAATTTCATAATACCATATGATAGAGATAATGAGTTAATTTTAAATAGGGTTAGATGATATTTTTCTCAAATTTGTGTTGATATAGTAAACCCATGCACTATGAAAGTTGTTTCATAAGTAATAATTTTATTTTGTCATTCTAAGTAAATTTTAACGGAAAAAATAATTCAACGGTATAAAGAAGTCTTGTACCTGGCTGCATAATAACCTCTGAACATTTTATTACAAAACACATTGATCTCAATCAGACCGAACATGAATACTGAGTCAACTGACACATCTCTTTTCCTACTCTTGTTACATATATTCTTTGTAGGAAAAACAGCATTCAGGCTCGATGATATGAATTAAAAGAGCAAAAGGTGGGTAAAAGTCTTTTTCTCCATAATCATTTGCTCCATAAATGACGTTTGTCTGGCTACAACTGGAAACACAAAAATAGAAGAAAAAAAAAGATGGGAACGCAAATCATAAAAAAGCAAAATTAACTAGAAAGACGAAGGGAGAGAGAGACCGTTGAGTGGCGTGAGAGTTTGAGTCCGAACATTAACTCCTCTCATCTGCCAACTTTCCTCTGTTTCTCCTTTATATCCCAAACCTATTCTCCATCCAAACCTCATCATAGGCATAGCAAAATTCTTCCAAAATGTCTGATTTCTCGAGCTCTGTGAAGCTAAAATATGTGAAACTCGGTTACCAATATCTTATCAACAACTTCCTTACTGTCCTTCTAATTCCAATCATAGCGGTCATCGTCATTGAGCTTCTCCGAATGGGTCCCGAAGAGATTCTCAGTATCTTGAACTCACTCCACTTCGAGTTCCTTCATATCCTTTGTTCCTCTTTCCTTATCATTTTTGTTTCAACCGTTTACTTCATGTCCAAGCCACGCACCGTCTACCTTGTAGACTACTCTTGCTACAAACCTCCTGTCACGTGCCGTGTCCCGTTCTCTTCCTTCATGGAACACTCTCGTCTCATCCTCAAAGACAATCCCAAGAGCGTCGAATTCCAAATGAGAATCCTTGAGCGATCTGGTCTAGGAGAAGAGACTTGTCTCCCTCCAGCTATTCATTACATCCCTCCAACTCCGACCATGGAATCCGCAAGAAACGAGGCCCAAATGGTTATTTTCACCGCCATGGAAGATCTCTTCAAGAATACAGGTCTTAAACCTAAAGACATCGACATCCTCATTGTTAATTGCTCTCTGTTCTCACCGACGCCTTCTCTTTCCGCTATGATTATCAACAAGTACAAGCTTAGGAGTAACATAAAAAGTTATAACCTTTCTGGGATGGGATGCAGCGCCAGTCTTATCTCCGTCGATGTAGCACGTGACTTGTTACAAGTCCATCCTAACTCCAACGCAGTCATAATTAGTACAGAGATCATTACTCCTAATTATTATAAGGGTAATGAAAGAGCCATGTTGCTTCCAAACTGCCTCTTCCGCATGGGAGGCGCTGCCATTCTCCTCTCTAACCGCAGATCCGACAGGTGGCGAGCTAAGTACAAGCTATGCCACCTTGTCAGGACCCACCGCGGTGCAGATGACAAGTCCTACTATTGTGTTATGGAACAGGAAGACAAAAACGGTAATGTGGGGATCAACTTGTCTAAAGATCTCATGACTATCGCTGGAGAAGCATTGAAGTCTAACATCACTACCATAGGTAACTAACAATGTTATATACTGAACACAGTTTTACCGTATGACTTTATATCTATGATCATGAGATCTTTTTGTTGGAATTTCTTTTCTTCTAAAAAGATTAACACACTCATTGGATTGAATAGGTCCTTTGGTTCTTCCGGCATCGGAGCAGCTTCTCTTCCTCTCATCCCTTATCGGACGTAAAATCTTCAATCCAAAGTGGAAGCCGTACATACCAGATTTCAAGCAGGCCTTCGAGCATTTCTGCATCCACGCAGGAGGAAGGGCGGTGATTGACGAGCTGCAAAAGAATTTGCAGCTGTCGGGAGAACACGTGGAAGCTTCAAGAATGACACTACATAGGTTTGGTAATACCTCGTCGTCATCATTGTGGTATGAGCTTAGCTACATAGAGGCTCAAGGGAGAATGAAGAAAAGTGACAGGGTTTGGCAGATCGCGTTCGGGAGTGGATTCAAGTGTAACTCCGCCGTTTGGAAATGTAACCGTACGATCAAGACACCAACGGATGGAGCATGGTCGGATTGTATCGAACGATATCCTGTCTTTATCCCTGAAGTTGTCAAACTATGAAAATATACTTTTAAAAGATTGGAAAAATAGAGAAAAGTGCAAAAGACTATAAGATACGACAAATGTGCTAATATTTGTGTCAACTTTTTCATTTGGAGTATTTTTTCTTCTTTCTAATGATGTGATTTGTGTGATGTATGAAATACTACATTTTATTTCTTATGTTTTAGAATTTGAAACTTATGTTTATTTTTTTTTAACATTGCCCTTGAATCTGCTAACCTGCTACTTGGTAGATTGTGGTGATAAAGGCTATAAAAATACCAGAACAGAGCAAAGCAGATTTTAAAGTATATTTTGGGTTCTCACCAATAAAAAAGGAAAAGCGTATTTAGAGTTGACCAAGGGCTTTGTAATAAATATGGGTAATGAAGCCATGTGATCATGCAGTTGATATAATTGAAAGCCTACTTAAATCCGAGTTGACTTTACACACGGGAATTTTGGTGAGAACCTTAATGTGTAATCGTTTTCTTTATATATATATTTGTATTTAATTTAACTTTCTGTTTGGTTTTTGATATCTCATATTTTTCTTACAAATTTGTGATTGGGCACACGAATGCCACGGGTTAAATGAGTTAACTCCTGAAAATATCCATCACATTCAAATTTCGGTCCTAAAATCCAAAATAGAAGAACAAAAATTGAAAGTTTGGTTCTTTTAAGTTATGACCCATCTTCATTTTTTCTAATTAGAAAGTTCCATATTAGTGGTCTATGAACATTTTTTGGTCTCGGACCAAGGGACCAATCTTCGATTATACATGTTAAGTGTAAATCATCTCTCCATCAATATATAAAACACTTGAAAACGAATCTCAATCTACATCAAAATGAGTTGTTGATAACTAAATGATGTATCAATGTTGGGTGACTGATCATCTTCATATATAATACTGAAACGTAAAGTAAAATTGTTAGATATATAAAAGGTAAAAAGTTAGTTAGGTCCAAACCGCACCATTTTTAAATGACTTAGGATTCTTATTTAGATATAAATAATTAGTTTATAAATAGGATAGGTTTGATGCAATAATCAATCTTCAGAAGTGCTAAATTAAACCATCTCTCTCCAACGAAGATTGGGATTTAGAAATAAGGACTGCACTTTCTTTTCAAAGATTTTTGATAACCAAATGAGCTATCAGTACCAGCCCATCTCCAATTTACCGAAAAAGATTGAATAAATGAAACTTATGGAAGGCGTAAGAGAAAAATACGGTGTCATGTCTCACAACTATAATTTGGATTGGGATAGGCAACTGCAATAGGCTTGGGCGGTTCTTTTTAATTTTGTAATAACTGAAAGCAGCAATTTGTTGTTACGTAGACTGTACGTAGTCTATGCATGTGGTTCTTGCTTTTACTCTCTACCCAATGCTTTATTTTAGTTTCTGCTTATTACCTGATGAAAAAAAAAATGATGAAAAAAAAAAAAAAAAGTTTCTGCTTATTACCTAGCTAGGCCCATCTTCTATCATATCTCGCTTTTCTCCATTTTTTTTGTTCTTCTATGTCCAATGAATCTGGTGAGTGAATGGTCAAAACTTAATAAGGAAAGTAATCCGTGAAATCGAACGGTATAGTACATCCAATTTTTTTTATTTTTCTATTAACGAGGGTCTTGGAACCTACATCTGTTTCGGTTTCAATTTTAGGATTTAGTTAGATATGAAAAATCATCACTTATTTGAAGAAGATGTATAATGTTTGTAGAGGTTAAATACATTAAAAAATTGTAGTTTATATAGAATGCCGTAGAATCAACCAAGAACAACACTAGATTACTAGTCGAAAGAACTTGGTATCAGGGCTTGCAACCAAACATCATAGCTCAATATTCATTTCTCCTTCATTTATGTCCAATGTATAAGGGATATAAATATATTCCAAAGAATCACAGGCTTTAATAACGTAGTCTGATGACGTGGAAATCTAAGTTTTGGACACTTTTGGCGTATGATCGCACATTCTCACGGCATGAGATGGATCCAAGAGGCAAGAACAAAGTTTTCTCAACCATTGGCCTAACATCAATGGTAGAATCTCGATGATAACTAATTTACACATGGCTTTAATTTTTTCCAAGAAATCCAAGTTTGCAGACCGACGCATACATAAACCGCAACCGTCTCCCAACATAGAAAACTAGATTACTAACAATCATTCTCTTGTAAGATAAATTAGAACTAACAATCGAGCCAATAAGAGAGGTCTAAAGTTTCCATAAGAATTTGTAGGGATTCGTGGGCTCGAATTATGGATTTATGGGGCTTATATTAAATTTTATAAAGTAAAGTTCGATTCCAGAATTCTATTAATTATATAGGACCACATATATTTGAGTTTTGAGCCGATACATTATCTAGCCCGGCGATAAAGGCCTCTTATGTAACTCGATGAGTCCTCCCTCATCTTTAGGCCTCTTAATAAACAACGATATGTTCTTCACTTTTTAATCTTTTTTTTTTTTTACAGAAATACCATCCAAAATTACGTGTCCTCATGTAAAGTAATAAATTACGCAACTGTCTCCCAAGTTTAGTAGTATTAACTCCATTTGAGTTTTTTTGTCACTTTGCTATCAAAATAACTAAATAAGTAAAATTGTCATTAAAATATAATTTTTCGATATTTAAATCCTACCAATAGTGGCTGCTCGTTCTTCTTATGAGAATGATGCTTCCTACATTCAATTGTGTGCATCAAATGTACATTTATATCAGGAACATAAGCAGTTAAGATACAATGTGAATGCAAATGAAAATTTATAACTCTAATCCTATATTTAGTTATAACCCTAACAAAATGAAATAGTATTGTCTTCATTAAATATCTCGTTGATCATGTTACCGATGAAATATGCTCACTAATGGGTTTTTTTTTATTATGCTAATGAGTGGGTAGTTGACATGATGTCATATATATGTGATAGGGTTGCAAATAACTTGTCATTGAATGTAATAACATGACATTATGAATAAAACGTGTTATTAAAAAAATTCATATATGTTAATATCACATGTGAAACTATTGTTTTGATGGAAATAATTTTTTAAATTGCGTTTTAAAAGTTATTTACTTAATAAAACTTACATATAATTAATTATTTATCTAAACCAAAGTTTGTTTCTTATCACATGATTTAAGTTACCTTTTGCATTACTTGTATACTAGAACAAATGCATACATCTGGGTAAGTCTTAGCCTTCCTTACCACATTTTTCTTAGGTACAATATCGCCTTCAACTTCGAAATCATGTACTAATTTCTCCACAAGATGTTATCACCTCTTACTGAGTTTTTTATCGACTTTCTCTACTGGTTACGCTCCACAAATTTTTTTTCTATTCAATAGTTCATGAAAAGTCATTCGGTCTATGTGGATATGATATCATATTAATAGCTATAATTAAATATGTGTTGATAAGAATGTCTTCCATAAGACAAATTCTACCCAATATTTGACTGAAATTTGTTGAACATGGTACAACAACAAAAATAATGATAAATATTGTACCAATTTTATCATTTATGATAAATCTCCACATTAATTCATTTCAAATAAATCTTCTTAAATTCGTTTTGTCCAAACTAAAAAAATTCTTTTGTGTAATCAACCATTTCGACCTAAATTTTTTTTTTGAATCAGCATTCTTCGTTCAACTTCAAATTTCGAAAAAATTGAATCAATCTTTGTTGCCAAGATATTTTTCAGATTTCAAAAAACTGAATCAATGTTTGTCAATATTGCCAAAACAAAAAAAAAACCTAAATAATTATTTTATCCATAGTCAAAGTTACCATATAGTCTCTAATCTCTATAATGAAAATGGTTAGAAAAAAAGGAATGACAAATCTGAAACCTTTGCTACTCAAAAAGAAAGAAATAACAAAAACCACAAAATGTCTACAATAAACAAAGGAGAATATAGAAAAAATATAACAAGTGATTGGGCAAGGATAGCGACAAGGTGGACCACACAAGAAATCCAATGGATAAAGAAGCTGACCAATTAAAACAGTATTACGAGGATCATCTTCAGAACTCAACCAATCACAAATCAGATAAGGCCTCAACATGGGTCCCTAACTCAAGACATAAACACCCAAAAAGTGCATAAATTTTTTTATAACTTCAAAAATCCACTGACACAAAAGGGAACGCACTTCATGCGGGTCATCCTCTTACTCTCTCAAACACTCATTGCCCAAATACTATAACTCAGTTCTCTAGGAAAGACACTAAATCTAACTTTTTGCAGAGAGCAAAAGATTCAATTATTGAGATTTGATCTCAATATCAAAGGTCTCGTGCTCTTGTCGTTGATGTTGGTTTTATAGGGTTTGTATACAAAGATGAAAAGTTTGGCGAATGCTGTTGGAGCGAAGACGGCGAGGGCTTGCGACAGCTGCGTCAAGAGACGTGCGCGGTGGTACTGCGCGGCCGACGATGCTTTTCTTTGCCAATCTTGCGACAGTTTGGTCCACTCAGCGAACCCTCTTGCTCGCCGGCACGAGAGAGTCCGTTTGAAGACGGCCAGCCCGGCGGTGGTAAAGCATAGCAACCACTCATCAGCTTCTCCTCCACATGAGGCCGCCACGTGGCATCACGGGTTCACTCGTAAAGCTCGGACGCCACGTGGCTCTGGTAAGAAGAACAATTCGTCGATTTTTCATGACTTGGTGCCGGAGATTAGTGTTGAGGATCAGACCGACAGCTATGAGATGGAAGAGCAGCTGATCTGTCAAGTGCCGGTTCTAGATCCGTTGGTGGCTGAGCAGTTCTTGAACGATGTCGTTGAGCCCAAGATCGAGTTTCCTATAATGAGAAGTGGTGTGATGATCGAGGAGGAGGAAGACAACGCTGAAAGTTGTCTTAATGGTTTTTTCCCGACCGACATGGAGCTTGAGGAGTTTGCTGCTGATGTGGAGACCCTGCTCGGTCGTGGGTTAGACTCTGAGTCCTATCCCATGGAGGAGCTAGGGTTATCTAATTCAGAGATGTTCAAAATCGAAAAAGACGAGATTGAAGAAGATCAAGTAGAAGAAATAAAAGCCATGAACATGGAAATATTCGATGATGATCGAAAAGACGGGGATGAAACAGTACCGTTTGAGCTAAGCTTTGATTACGAGTCGTCACACAAGACATCCGAAGAAGAGGTAATGAAGAACGTTGAAAGCAGCGGTGAATGTGTTGTTAAGGTAAAAGAGGAAGAACAGAAGAATGTTCTGTTGCTGAGATTAAACTACGACTCGGTTATATCCACTTGGGGCAGCCAAGGTCCACCGTGGAGTTCAGGAGTGCCACCGGAGCGAGACATGGACATCAGCGGTTGGCCAGCCGTTTCCATGGTACGTTATGTATATAAAGTCATCATTCTTTAGAATTCTAATAAAAGTGAGTTTAATGTTCTCAAATAGCTAAACTAAAGTTGAAATATTATGTTTTAGGGGGAGAATGGAGGAGAAAGTACTCATAAGAAGCAATACGTTGGTGGATGTTTACCATCAAGTGGATTTGGAGATGGAGGTAGAGAAGCTCGGGTTTCGAGATACAGAGAGAAGAGAAGGACGAGGTTGTTTTCTAAGAAGATAAGGTACGAGGTACGTAAGTTGAATGCGGAGAAAAGACCACGGATGAAAGGAAGATTCGTTAAGAGAGCCTCGCTCGCTGCTTCCGCTGGTGCTGTTGCTGCAATTTCACCATTAGGTGTTAATTACTGAATAGTGAATATCTATTCATGTTATATCTCACTTTACAAATTTTGGTGAAAATTTTTCTTCTGAAACAACAGAAGTTATTTTGGCACTTAATTGTGCTTTGCGGACTTGGTATGTACATAGATTTAGTAACCAATAATGTGACTTTTCTTGTATTGATAGCACTGATGTATATATCTGGTAATAAGAATGTGCAAAGGCATTTTGATTGTTAAAAGTACTCTATGTTAAACATGTTTACCTCTCATACCAGAAATCCAACGAACATAACTTCTCAAACCAAAACTGAACCGATTTTCTTTACAAATCGAATGATCATCTTTAAGAACTTTAAAAATAATAAATAGTTTAAACTTGTTGATATTTGGTAAGAGCATGATTATCCAATGGCTCTTAATAATGACTCTTATCCAAGGGTTCTTAATAATGGCTCGTATCCACGTGGCACTCTTAACTCTCAAAATGTTCCTTAGCTAAAGAATGTTCCTTAAATCTATTCAGCAATTTCAATTTAATTTAAATCATTTATAAACCTAAGAATCACTTAAGCAACTACCGATAATCATGCTCTAACACTATTATCCTAAGAGAATCAGAATTGGGATTTCAAAAACAAAAATGGCTAGACAGCCAACTATAATAAGCACAATGAACAAGTTCTCCTGAGTCGTCATTGTCCCTGCCAACTGATCATGTATCATTTTCTAGCTAAGATGAAAATGGCTACTAACTACCACACACGCTTATATTGGAGCAAATATCTATTAGCGTTAATATCACCATATCGTTATCAACGACCCATTACTAATTCAAATCTGTGGTACATAAGAAATGTTAATTTTGGTGGTGCTTAAATTTTTGGTAAGATGGATAATTTCAAACAAGTTTTGTTTGGAAGTGCTATATAGTATGATAATCTAAAGCTACTGCGTAGAACAGGTTAATTAAGTATGTGTAACACTAGATAAAGTTGTGAGAAATCTTTTTGTTTTTGTTGTGATAAGTGATAGAATCATTGAAAGGCAGTACACAACTAAAAGACGTAGAAGTCACATCGTAAAATGTTGTTGTGTAGCTGAGAGTTGGGTCCGCAATATGGAGCCTAGAGAGAGACATTGGCCTTGTAAGTTGTAACTTATATCACATCCAACCTTCGATTTGCCGCTTCTCCTATTACAGTTACCGGATAGTTAGGACTTAGGAATAGGAGATAAGATAATAATATACGTAGTTACGTACCATGAAAGTATAAAATTGACTAAAATAATAATTTTAAAAAAGGAATATCATATGCTTTCGGTTTCTCCCTTGTTTTCCAAAAGTACTACATTGCGTTTAAGAAAATACCTAGTAAAATTTGGAAAGACTTCTTAAATTGAAGAAGTGTCTTCCTAAATTTTACAAACACAAGAAAGAAGCGAGATAGAGAAAGAATTATTTTGGAAAGATTTGTTTTCGAAAAATTCAACATTAAAAAAAAAACTTTGTAATAATTGAACCCCGTATTATTTGGACCAAATCAATAGATAGATTCAATACAAAGATTGAAAGGGCAATTGGACCCACCAAATAAAAATGAAATTTTGGAATTTTGTAATAATTTAATTCATATTAAGAGAAGAGTGGCTCATGGTTGGCTTTTTGGGCTGAACAATGAAATGACATGCTTGTGGTTGTGGTCCTATCCTCTCTTCTATAAAGTCTTTCCAAATTTAAAAATAAAAATTGAGTAAATCCCAAAACGTGAGGGACCGTCATTTTGATTAAACCCCGTTTGGCATCTCCCCGTTTTCCTTTGATTTTTATAGAATCCCTTCCAAAATATCTTTACTTCTTTTTATCTTATTGACCATTTTGGATATTATAATGTTCTTATTAGTGAAACTAATTACTTTTTATTTACACATGTAAAATAAAACCGGGTTAAAACAGTTTTGTAAGAATTTCAGCAGATAATTCACAATATTTAATCCACTACGCATCCCAAAAGAATATTATAAAGTATATGGACCCGTAGGTGGATTATGTGATTTCTTCCATTAAGCCTGGGGCATTGCGATTTGCACTTTTCCCCATCCTGTTTTGGTCTCTTACGAGGGCCTAACAAAAAAAGTTAATAATACAAAACATCTTGGACCAGTGAATATAAAGTATCGTTTGAAAATGAGTATTGAAGTAAATCTGCGTTTTAAGGTTTTGACCCATAAATAAACTAAAGCCCAATTACACAGTCAACTGACTCATTTCGGCCCTCTTCGTCTTGTGTCTTTCTGTGAAATTATAGCCAATTTATAACTACGGTCCCATTTATATACATATACTACTATACTAGATCCATAATTGCGCGGGATTTTATAGAAACAGCTTTAAATAATAATCAAGTGTTGGTAATTTTTATGAAGCACAAACTTTTGAATCAATAGTTTGTGTGGTTGTTAGCTAATTTTTTTCTTTGTGTAGTTAGTAGAAGATGTAAGAGATTATGTAATTTAAGTCTTTTAGATCTAGGGCTCAATAAAAGTTGGTAAAGTTTATGGTTGTTATCATTTATTTTTCTTTTCCTTCTTTGAGTTTGATGTTAACGAAGTATTTAAGATTAGGGTTTATAATTTTTTTATATTTATAAACTGTCTAGGTTTGAAGGAGTAAAAGTTTTTTGACCAAAATATAAAAATGTGAAGATTTGTCATGTATATGTATCTCGCGAGAAATATAAAAGTGTTAGCATATTTTTTCTGATCTATCAAAAATAACATTTTCTGTTTTATTAAAAGGTATTTGTACCAAAAGGGTGGTGGTTAGTAGTAATAAAAGAAAATTGGTTTCTTTGTGTTTAGGGTTCAATCTTTTTTTCGGATGAAAACACATTTTTTAAATTTTGAATATACTAAAGACCGGCTCTGAAAACCGAGGGTGATTGTGGATCAAAGTCCGGAACTCCCGTGATTTATAATGGCTCCGAATGGAGAAAGCGTATCAGGCGGAGCGGATCAAGCGGTTCAAGCGTATCAAGCAGAACAAAAGCGGATCAAGCAGATCTAGCGTTACATGTGCGGATCAAGCGGTTCGAACGCTTTAAAATATGTGTTGAATGGTGAAAGCGGATCAAAAAGTGCGGATGAAATATTTATATTATAAAAACATTAATTTTAAATAAAATATTTTACATAAACTATACATATTCAAAATTATGTTAAAATTATAGTAATTCAATGTACTAATATTTATATAATAACAAAAATATTATTCAGTTTTTAGATCCAAAATTTATATATACCGCTTATGAAAGCAAAATTGGATAATGAAACGTAACGATAACTTAGCTAATTGGTTATATATATATATATATAATTAGAGTTGGGATAATAAACCGAACCAAAATAATAGAACCAAACTGAGATTTTGGTTGTTCGGTTCGGTTTCGGTTAGGGTCATTAGCCGATCGACAATTGGAGAAATTTAGTTCGGTTCGGTTCTCGGTTAACTACTTTTTTTAATAACCGGAATAGCGGTGGTACAAAACAATAGACCAGTTTTCGTTAATAGTTGAACTTACCGACGAACTGAATTACTCGAGTTTCGGCAAAATTTTCAAAACTCAAAGAAACTGAAAAACCGAACTAACCGAAGGAACCGAAGTCCCGTGACTATATATGGTGATCAGACCCAAAATCCATAAATCTAGTAAATTTATAGTATTAAATTGCTAGAATCAATAACTAAATTTGAATACATGATTATCCAAATTTTAGTAATTCATTATCCAAAATTTAATGTCAAAAAGTAAAAGAAAATTAATTAAAGTTTATATAAATAAAAATAAAACATCTCAATATGCAGATGAACCACTTGATCCTCTCCTTATTACTCGTGGATCAAATGATCTGCTTTTATTGAACTAGGTGCGGTTCAAAATACTGTTATTGATTTGTTTATTATTTTTAGTTTAGAAACGCAAAGTAAAAATAACAAAGGTTGAATGGAAACATAATTAGCGTTTCTCACACTTCGACAAATCACCCACTATTTATACGCTTCCCATTCAAGCCCAATGAAAAAATTGTATAATTTGTGTAAGTTATTCTAGCTATGTCTACACCAATCCCATCTAACGTAATGATCCATAAAAAAAAAAAAAAAACGTAATGATCCACTCATAGAAGTCACCCGGTCCACCCACACGCCTTGACCGAAAATATTGCGGCAAGAACCACACGTGTCCCACGGTTCTATGCTTATCATGTTTAGTTTTACTGATGCGATGTTCATCACTAGTTGACCTTTTTTTGTTACTGTCTCATCGAAGACTTTCCTTTTTCCGGCTAACTTTTCGCGTAATTACGTCCATTTTAAGTGGGTCTTTCGTCACGACAACCTTTAATATTATTAGCTACCAACCCTTATTTTTGCAAAGAAATGCTCTGTCTTCTCTTTCTTTTTTCCTGTAGAGGTTTTGGTCATTCAATTATTCAATCTCCTATTCTCTATTTAGAATTTTGTTATGGAAAGGTTTAAGCCTTCCACATTCTATTAGTTAGTAGTAAACACAATGAATAATTTCCTGATATAGTGTATACCAATGTTTCTCAATAAAGCAATTATGTTCTTCATAAGAACTGATATTATCATATACATATCAACGTATGGATACATAGCAATTAATTGCATATTTTCCCTTCATGGAACCCTGAGAATTTACCTAACTCTGATAAATGAGAAAGCAGCAGTGGAGAAGATACGCACCTCTTTAGTGAATATTTCCTCATATGTGCAAAAGAAAGTGTCAGTGGAGAAGATACCAGAGATCAAATTCTTCTTTCTCTTTACTTTCAATTCATCATTTTTGTTCTGTCTCTAATTTGGATTATACTTTTTGGTGAAAATTCCCAAAAAAAAACTCAGAAGTACTTGTTATGAAACAAGATAAATCAAGAAAAAGATGTAATGATAAAATCTCAAAAAAGTGATATATACGCATGTAACATTAATGTTAAAAAAACAAAAACTTATATATCATCATAATTCCAAAAATATAGAAGTTTTGTAGAAAATGGCAATTTTATTTTGTAATTCGGAACTTTACAAACCTAGAGAAGACCCTGATGACAAGGACAAAAACTATATTCAAGAGACAAATAATTATTTATTTCTCATAAAGTGTTTAGACAAATCAATAACCAATCACAGAACCAAAAGAAAAAA